CACTGGTTTACACACAATCATAACTCTAACCTTAATCAATGACACCTAAACATAACCCATGAACCTAACATGCTTTATACTTCAACAGTTGTTAAATATCATACCATAGTAGAAAATGAACAATAGATATACTATAGTAGAAAATGAATAATAAATACCATACTATAGTAGAAAATGAATAGTAGATATCATACCATAGTTGAAAATGTATGATAGATATCATACTATAGTAGAATATGGACGGCAGATACTATACTATAGCAGCACCGAATTAAGATTCTTCCGAAAGTTCAAATAGGAAAACCGTAATCTTTTCATGAGTCTTTCTAGTAAATAATAAATATGAGTTTTAGCATCTAAGAAAAATCATCAGTCTAATTTCTTGACTTGTAAAAGATATTTTTCCGTTCCAAATTATTTAAGTCGGACTGTTGAATTCTGGTTTGGAATTCTAAGATTTGAATGTTTGTATTAAAATCCATTTTACATTGTTGATAATAATTCGCAGTTTCGATTAAATTGGAGAATGAATAGAGCTTCTTCCTGAATGGACACGTCAGATAGAAGAGAAAGGAGGAGAAAAAAAATGTGAGGGAGTATATGTCACTTTCTCGGCTGTCATAGGGAAAACTGAAAACCTTGCTTGAGAACGTAAGAAAAAAGAAGTCGAATGTCGAGGTGTCAGTGATACCAGTCATTATTGGAATACTCTTACAATTGTCCCGAAGAGTCTTTCAAAGATTATTATTTGATTAATTTTTTCCTTATCAACTTTTTAGAGGATTTTTTAAAGCCAGCAAATATAATTTTTTAAATTGTAAGAATTTGGGGGATATAATATTTATTTGCTGATAAAAGTATTACTAATTAACCCACATCTGGGGGAGAAGAGGTGGATTCATAAGTTTCCCAAGAGAATTTGCACTTTAGTGAAAATAACGAACTCGACTGGAATTGGAACGGCTTCTCAGATTTTCAATTCCGAGCCATTATCTATTACACCACCCGCACATCCAAGCTTACAGCAGCTGGTATTCCTAAGGTATCACCCATCTAGATACTGACTAGGCTAGATATTACTTAACTTTGCTGACCGTTCGAGAACCAGTGTTTCAGCATGATATGGCCGTAAGTCCATTTGAAAGGCATGACACATTTAATCATGGCAATATTACAGAAAAGAATACTGAACTGTTTGAGGATATAATTGTTGTCACTTGATCTCCAAATAAAACTGTCTGCTATAAGTGGTGCGAATACGCAACGAATGAATAATATAAACAAAGTAGCTGGTGGACGCTTAGGACGAATACAGATATATCTCGGGTTACGTCGTTTCGAGTTAAGTCGTTCTCGATTATACGTCGTTTGTCAAAAAAATATATGGAAAAATAGAAATCAAGTTTAAGTCATTTTATTTCACTTTACGTCTGTCCACCACAAATATTGAAGTCGTAATATCACTAGAAAAACATTATTTTATAATTTCTTAGAGCAAACCACATTCACAAATAAAGAGTCCGTGATGTACTGTAAAGATCGCCATATTGTAAACATCTACATTTACAAGTATACAGGGTGTCCATAAAGTTCGTGTGCACTTTATTTGTATTTGCGATAGAAAAAATCTGTAAAAAATGTTATAAAGTTTAATGTACCTAGTTTTAAGTATAGCTAAAATAACTAATGTGATTTCAGGCATTACTGTAAATCAGCTGACAAATATTTTCCGTGAACTGCAAAATCGTATTACCCTTTGTATTGTTGATGATGGAGGATATGTGGATACTTAAATAAAATTTCAATAAAATCTTAAAAAATATAGATTTACTTCTATCTAATCCTTTTAATAAAATATTCTATCGCAAATACAAATAAATTTATAATTTTTTAAAGTGCACACGAAATTTATGGACACCCTGTATATGTACATGTATTTGTAAATTTAGATTACTTTTTTCTGTATTATATTAAAAACTAAGATTTATTTGTTTCTAAGCTTAAAATAGATTCTTATTGATCATATATTATTAAAAATGTGTTTATAAATAAAATACAAAACTGGGAATGGTTATTTATGGTTTAGCCTAGTAAAAAGTAAATTCGGAGACAAGTAATTCGATTTAAGTCTTTTTTCGACTTAAGTCGCCTCTCCTGGAACAAATTATCGACGTAATTTGAGGTATACCTGTATATTGTTATATATGATTATATATCATGTGTTACATATTAGGTATTAAGGAAAGTATAACATCTAATTAAAATTAAGATATTTAACCAGTATCAATATATATTGGTCTATTTCTTAAGTTTGTCAGTTTCTTTATATATATATATATATATATATATATATATATATATATATATATATATATATCAAGATATGTATAAAATCAAGCTCACTTCTCAGGATAGGAAAATTCAAGTTACAAAGATATGCCATAAAACAAAACAATCCACCAACCAATTCGTAAATTTAGATTACTTTTTTCTGTACAATATTAAAAACTAAAATTTATTTGTTTTTAAGCTTAAAATAGATTCTTATTGATCATATATTATTAAAAATGTATTTATAAATAAAATACAAAATTGGGAATGGTTATTTTTGGTTTAGCCTAGTAACAAGTAAATTCGGAGTTAAGTCGTTTTTCGACTTCAGCTGAGGGACACCTGTATATTCAGTTCATGGAGAAGAAACGAAGAGAATTAAAGAGAGCAAAGGATGAATAAAGATCAAAATCGATGGAGATCGCGCGTGCCCCATTCAGACTGCATACACACCTTTAAATTCTGAGGGATACAAAAGTATATAATTAAGATGTTTAGCAGGTGGCTAGGCAAGTAAGCCTGCACAATATTTTGCAAGCGGGTCTCGCGGTGAGAAATAGTTCATAAGCACTTTAAAAACATTCGTGAATAGTTTTCTTGTATAACAAACAAACAAACAAAAAAAACTTGCATTTAATTTCACACCCGCGTAAATGCCTGTATAAATGTTTGTCCCTGCTACCTACAATCTTCCAAAATTTAAATTCAACATCTGTCTTCTTGAACCCTGTTTCTTTATAGTACTTTTCTCACTTCTCATCGCTATAAGGTCTTCTCATTCTCTTTCATTCCCTGTAAACCATATGAGTCCTACAAACGATTAATATATATATATATATATATATAGTAAATATATGCGCGCACGCACGCACACACACACACACGTATGTGTGTGCGTGTGTGTGTTTCAAATACGATATAGAATCCCAACAAAGTTTTTAAGAAATTTTAGAAATGGAAAACGTTTCATTGAAACTAGATTTGGTTACGCGTTTCGCCTTTCTAGGCTTCATCAGATCACAAAACGAATGAAAGAAATTCGTGTGTGTGTGTATTTGTGTGTACGCTTTACGTCACTTTGAATATTTAAAACATATATTTCATTATTTAAGCATACACACGCACAAAGGCGAAAAGCGTTATCAAATGTAGTTTCATTGAAATTTTTCCTGTGTATATATATATATATATAAATATATACATATGTGTGTGTGTGTTTATATATATATGAATAAAAACAAAAGGAAAATGAAAACTTATTTTAGTCTTTTTTTTCGTCTTTATTCATTTTGCATTTGACAATATATAGTTTTAGTTATATCCGAATTTTTTCATATATATATATATATATATATATATATATATATATATATATATATATATATATAGCCAGATGTGCTTAAGTGTGCGTGTGAATATGCATGTGTGTACGTGTGTGCCAATACCGATTTGTAAGCTACTATGAAAATATTTATATAGTTATCGATTTATAAACAAATAATTAGCAAAGCTAATTCAATTCAATGTTTGTATTTGGATTTATAGCTAAATATGGACGATACTCTCTCTCTCTCTCTCTCTCTCTATATATATATATATATATATATATATATATATATATATATAGTGTTGTTTAATTTAACAGAAAATGAAAGCCGGTCACCTGTGTTAATCAACTTTTCATGATTTCGAACCAAAATGCAATACATCGTTAAACTAGAAGGAAATGGTGGATGCTTCTAGTTGAGAAAACAATAAATGTTGATTTAAAATCCTAAGTGATTTCATTTTCTCTTACATTCAACAATACCTGCATAAAACAATTTTGCTGCCCAAATGTAAGTTATTCAATAAATAAACACACGCACACACATACACACGCAGAAATGCACACACACACATACACACACACACGCACACACACACACACACACACACACATATATATATATATATAAATATATATATATATATATATATATATAAATTCGTAAAACGAACGAAAATTAATTCGTAAAAACGAACATTTGAAATGTTTTGAATTTACAGAAACAGATATGTATACTCACAGACAACTTAACTCCCTGAAGATGGCCTCACATGAGATTGAAAGTTCTTGGGAAAATAAAAACTATTTGAAAGAATATTTTGGTATTTTACTTAATCAACAAGGCTAACAAAAATTAATCTGCGAACGTTAATGGGCCACAAGGAAAACTAATTTAACCAAACTTGTTTGAATGAAAATATGCTGCCTACCTACCATATATATATATATATATATATATATATATATATATATATACAGGAATCGGTAGATATTCTTTATTAAATCTCTCGAATACCCAGACAGATATTTTTACAGTGACTTACTTCTAATGGCCTGTATATTTGAGCGTTCCGATGGAACATGTACAGAGACAACATGATTAATTTTACTAGATATATATGTGGACAGATAATGAAGAGAGATAAATACATATGCATAGAGTTAGACAGATATGAAAAGTCTGCTATATGTACATACATATATACATACACATATGGAAAGAGAGAGAGAGAGAGAAAGTGTGTGTGAGAGAGAGAGAGAGAGAGAGAGAGAGTAATCAGTGTGTCCCCCAAAATCTACTCACTTTTTGATTCCTTCGCCTGTTTGAATATTTATAAACATGCATTTAATTTCATTTTCTATCTATCTATCTATCTATCTATCTATCTATCTATCTATCTATCTATCTATCTATCTTATTCTGTTGCCATCTGTCTTATTCTGTTGCTTTCTATCATGTTCTGTTTCTATCTTTTTCTGTTGCTATCTATCTATCTATCTATCTATCTCTCTTATTCTGTTGTTATTTATCTATCTTATTCTGTTGCTTTCTATCATATTCTATTTGTGTCTATCTAGCTATCTTATTCTGTTGCTATCTATCTATCTATCTATCTATCTATCTATCTATCTATCTATCTATCTATCTAACTTATTCTGTTGCTATCTGACTCTGTTGCTTTCTATCATATTCTGTTTCTATCTATCTTATTCTGTTGTTATCTATCTATCTATCTATCTATCTATCTATCTATCTATCTATCTATCTATATGTCTGTCTGTCTGTCTATCTATCGCAATGTTTTCATTAATGGGTGATCATTACTCTCCATAACATCCTATCTATTACAATTCCTAGAAATATTTGTCATTTTACGATCCCTTTCATTCCCCGTTCTGCCATCTCTTCACATATGCTCGTTAGTTAGGCGGGCCGCTGCCTTATACTAAACACGTTCATAACAAACGAAGTACGACTTTTTCGCCCAATCGTTTCCACTGCCATTTTCTGGGTAGAAAACTATATACACTATTTATCGGATGGGAACTTTACTATAACGAGACTTTTAAACAAAATCATTCAGCCTTTTCCCATGTCGGAATTACTTTAATCATTTAGTTTTATTTTCATTAATTTTCAAAAATAGCTGCAGTTAATGGAGAAAATTGAATTGAAATTTTAACGGCCGTTCTGTAAGTGTTCAAAAACAAGAAAGATTAAAAAACGTTTGAAATATTCAGCCGTTTGCTCATAGGTTGGGACGAACCGGGAACTTTCCATGTTACTAATGATTCTTAACTGGGTCGCATGCACCACTGGTTGGGACATGGTAATATTTTGGTGGGGCATGCGTTCCTTTTATATATATATATATATATATATATATATATATATATATATATATATATATATAAATATATATATTGGTGGGCATGCACCCTTCGGCTTACTATACCAACAAAATAAGGGGGCAATTTGAGAATGAGTTATTAACAGTGAATTGTTTCCTAGTGAGCTCAAATTTCATTTTGCTTTTTTTTATTTCACGATTAAAATGATCAAAATATATTACAAATAAGCTTTCATTCAAATATTTTATATTTCTGCCTTTCAGTTCACTATTACATGTTTGGAAACTATATATATTTAACTGTCTTTTTTTTTTTTTTCGTTTTTCTCTTTCATGGACACCACGGTCTTGTTTAGAGACCAAGTTGATGGCCTTTTAAGCTTCCTTCACGTGAATTGCAGTAAAATTTTGAATGTGTAAGAATTAAATATTACAGGAGGTGGGCACCGGAATTTTAGAAATACGAAGGTGAGGCATGGCACAAAATCGGCCGGGAAGCACTGCATTATATATTCACGCACACACGCCAGTGTACACGCAAACATATATATATATATATATATATATATATATATATATATATATATATATGTGTGTGTGTGTGTGTGTGTGTATGTATTTTAGGGGCTCCATTAGCAACTTAGGAGACTTATTAAAAATCTTTAAAAAATCTTTTAATAAACAGATATTTCTTTTTCAACACAAGCTCCTTGTCGATGCACTTAATTCAGCGGGTGTATCGTTCAATGCATTGAATTTTTCTAATAGAAATTCAGCTATTAACTGAGTGTGAAGCTATGATCCGCATTATAAGCTCTGAAAGTGTGCTGAAAAGTTCCCAATTTACTAATGCGCTAAATTGTAATAATCATGAATTTGGTCATTTATTGGGAAGTGGGTCTAACGAGAGAAATTTTCTGTACCCTATCGTGTACACACACACACACACACACACACACACACACACACACACACACACACACACACACACACACACACACATATATGTGTGTGTGCGTGTGTCTGTGTGTGTATTATTACTGCAAGCGTTATTTAGTGGGTACGAACACACACATTGTTCAATATATATACGTGTGTGTGTGTGAAAATCATATTGAGAATGAGAAATTCAAGAGAGATGATTGCAAGAGTCATGATTTTAATTTCTCTCAAAATGTTGTCACAGATATTTAATTTAACGTTTTCATGAATATGTTTGCGTCTGCCTAAATAAGACAGACCAAAAAATATCATCAAATATGCCAGCCATAGATAAAAGAAATTCACTACACATTATGTTGCATTTCTACCGGCAGTAAATAGAAAAAAAAACAAAAAAAAAAACAAACTTGTTATCCAGTTGGTGGACTAAGACGACATTTGAAAGTTCTCCAAAATATTAATATAACAACAATTGCAAACGAAGTCCATTGTTGCCACATTTAAACATGAGAATGTAAGACACTCAACGGACTAAAAAAAGAAAAGAAAAAAAGCCACGTCCATGCTGCACATATCAAGCGATGTCCGTGCTCGAAATCGAGTCGCTGACATCATGTATTAGGTTATAAGATACCAAGTCGAATATTTATTAAGATGCCTTTAAGTCTGGCGCAAAATAGCCTTACCTTTATTTTTCCTTACTGTCTGTATCAGAATAACGTAACTCGTTATATGTTTACAATACAAGCGCTTTTATTCAAGTATTTATCAATTTATTTAGGTATTTATAGATATTTTTTTTAATATTTAATTAAATGCAATCAACTTCTTCAATTAACATGCTTCATTATTCTTTGGCGCCTGCCATACATCAATATCTATCCTACAATTCTAATCAAACATTGCATGTGTAGTACGATTGGGTGCCCCGGTCAAATATACTTGGTAAATATCTACAATGCATCCATACTCTAGTGGCTATATCCCGCTTATCTCGCTGACAGTTTAACCTCATTAGATGCCCAAAGATTACAGACTTTTACCTGAATAAGACAGGCATTTTCAATATTTCAAGGTTTTTGTTTTAGCGTGAGAAAAAGCAGAGTAATTTTAGTCCTCTTTTATAATAGCCTTGTGCCTGACTAAACAGAGATGAGTAGTTTTCATTAGTTCCATTTATAGACGAAGTTAAACAATATGGATCCTGGTCACTACCTAAATGGCTGTTTGGGAATATGAGGTGATATAAGCTTGGATGTGCGGGTGGTGTAATGGATAACTGCTCCGAATTGGAAATCGGAGACCCGTGTTCCATTTCCAGTCGGGTTCCTTATATTCTTTAACAAGCAAATATCCATTTGAAAGGTATGAATTCACCTCTTCTACTCCCCCCAACTATGGGTTAATTAGTAGGACATTTTTCAGTAGATCATTATTATCGCAAAAAACTTCTTACAACTTAAAAATATTTTCTGACTTTAAAAAACCTGAAAAAGGTTGATAAGCCGTAAAAAAGAAACCAATCATAAAATTCATTCGTAGATTGAAGATTATTAATTACAGTGTATCCTCGCACTCATGGAGAATTCGTTCCTGTTCAAAACTAAGATATGCTGAAGGCAAGAGATTTTTTTTCGCATAGAGAGAGTTATGCCATCACTCGGAGCTCTCATTTGTAGTCTTGTGCCTTACTAGATAAATTCTTGTTAACGTCTACGGCTGTTTGTTACTGAGGAATCGCATCAAAATGTGTTCATTGCTCTCTGTGTTACCATGCTTGATTAAACATCTATCTCTTTGTATCCCTCGCGCTCTCGCTCCCTCTCTCTACAAATCTCTCTCTCTCTCTCTCTATATATATATATATATATATATATATATATATATATATATATATATATATACAAGTAAGTATATATACAAGTATATATATATATACATATATACGGTAAGTATTATACCAGTATTATTAGTATCATAATAGTGGTTTTAGAATTCATTTAATTCATTAAATCATTTCTAATATTTTATCATTTTTATCATAATATTTTTATGATAATTTTTATTTTTTAATAAATAATAATGTTAATTACAGATAAATAGGAGTGAGTCAATGACAGGGGCAAACAATTTAAGCATTTGACGGATTTTGATATGTTTATTATTAACATGTTTGTATAATCAATACAATACGTTTTGTGCGCACGTTTTGTTTTTCATTAATGTATACCTATATATATATATATATATATATATATATATATATATATATATAAAGTAGGTAAACAGTAATGAAAAGCAATATAATTATATATATATATATATATATATATATATATATATATATATATATATATAAAAAAGTAGGTTTACAGTAATGAAAAAGCGACATATATATTTATCGATTTTTATTACTGTATACCTACTTTTGTATATATATATATATATATATATATATATATATATATATATATATATATATATATATATATATATATATATATATATATATATATATATATATATATATATATATATATATATATATATATATATATATATATATATATATATATATATATATATATATATATATATAAAGTAGGTATACAGTAATAAAAATCGATATATATATATGTCGCTTTTCATTACTGTAAACCTACTTTTGCATATATATATATATATATATATATATATATATATATATATATATATATATATATATATGCATATATAAATATTGTTTTTCATTACTGCATACCTACTTTGCATATATATGTATAAATATAAATACAGATATATATGTTATTTTTATTACTGTATACTTAGTTTGTATATATATATATATATATAAAAAAAAGGCAAGAACACTAATATTATACCATGGAATATTAGTGTTTCAGCCTTTTTATTATATCCTTACTCTGTCCTGGACATTGAGTTCTACCTGGATTCTATCCTCTTGGAATTTTTTATTAAAAAAATATACATGTATGTGTATGCACCTATGTATATATATTTATATACGTTACATATATATGTGTATATTTACCACTAATATTAGCTATATATATATATATATATATATATATATATATATTGCTTTTCATCACTGTATACATATTTTAAACACACACACACACACACACACACACACACACACACATATATATATATATATATATGTACACACACACAATCAAATCCAAAATGACCCCATATCGGGAATAAATAAAATATAAGGTGATTTTGGATTTTATTGTGTATAAATTCCGCTCTGTAATAATAAATAAATTGAACTCTTTTTGTGGTTTAGTTTTAATATTTTATTAACTAGGATCCACTTGGATTATATACCATTGGATCTGTGGCCTTTATCTATCTATCTATCTATCTATCTCTCTCTCTCTCTCTCTCTCTATATATATATATATATATATATATATATATATATATATATATTGAATTTTCTATTTAAGTGCGTACGTACACACATATAGACACGAAAATGGTGCTACATACACATTCATATAAGAATATACATATAGGTAAATCATAAGTACATTCACGCACATTTCCTGTTTTCTTCTCCTGGTTGAAACAGTGAATTTATTCTCACCCGTACAGGTGAGGTAAAATTTCAAACGCTGATTTTCTTTGAATCCTGGCGTAACACATTCTTCTTACTCTCATTTCTGTTTATATGGCCTTGTACCGCATCAAAGGTAAACTTATTCAATATTAAGTGTGTTTCATTGTAAACACAAAGATGAACACGCACAACTTACTAAGGTTTACAGTTATATTTCGGGCGAAAGTGAAAAAGAAAGAAGAAAAAAGCAAAAAATGATCGAAGCTGGCGATAGGGAATCATGTTTGAACTGAGGAAGATTACAGGTCCTGTCACAAAGTATTAGTAACACTTGCTTTTTTTTTTGGACGGTAAAATATTGCAATTGAAATATAAACACATTCTTTATGGAAGGAAACGTGTAAAAACGAGAAAATTACAAACTTACCTAGTATCCACGTGCTTGACATGATGCCTCTAAAGATCCGTACGCATGTGACATTATCTCTCTCTCGCTCTCTCTCTCTCTCTCCCTTGCTATCTCTCTCTATTACATATCTACATATCTACACACACAAACACACACACACATATACATACATACATACATATATATATATATATATATATATATATATATATATATATATATAACAAAAGAAAAAGGTATGTTTTGGAACTAAAAACAAAGAAAAAAGTTGACCAGGTTATTTCTAGAAGATAACGCTCTTAAGGCGAGTGGTCTTTGTAATTAAAGTGCTTAATATCAAGAGAAAGAGCATTGATGGTAAAAAAATAAAATGAAATAAGTTCCCCATTTAATTTTATTTATTGCTATATAAACGTATGTGTATATATACTTGTGTGTGTATTTGTAAAAAGAATTGGGTTTAATTAGTGGGTGCTATAAAGAAAGACGTTGCATTTAGATAATTCACTTACGTGAATGTAAATATTGAAGAAATCTATGATATACATATAAATGCACAATATACAAATATGCAAACACAATTTGTTCGTCGGTACTATATATTTACATCTAGATGTGTGTGCGTGTGTGAGGGTGTGTGTGTTTAAAAAAGGTTAAAAGATACAACTTTAGTTTTCCGTGAAAACAGCCGAGCGAAAGTTTTAAAGAGACATTGTTAATGGGACACAAAAGTGGAGCTTTTTTTTAAAATATAACTGTACTTTTTGATGTGAGCATGCAGTCTCGTGGTTGCTGAAACGCAAATCTATGAATAAACACATTAATTATAGCTGAATAACTATTTAACTGAATGTATGCGTTATACATGTGTGAACCTGTTTTTTTTATGGGTGTGTTACGCGTCCATACCATATTCAGTTTAATCGTCTGAATCTTGCTAGAGGTGCAAAACGGGCTGTGTTGATTCGCATTCCAACATCCATCTATCTATCTATCTATCTATCTATCTATCTATCTATCTATCTATCTATCTATCTATCTATCTATCTAGTTCTGTTTCTAGCTATCTACCTCAGTGTGTTCATTATCTATCTATCTATCTATCTATCTATCTATCTATCTATCTATCTATCTATCTCATTCTGTTTCTATCTATTTCAGTCTGTTCATTATCTATCTATCTATCTATCTATCTATCTATCTATCTATCTATCTATCTATCTATCTATCAGTTTTAATGATCTACTGTTCAGGGTGTCTTACTTCGAATATCGGCCAAATCGTAATTTCCGTCTGTACACTTCTGTTTCTGTGTGGGTGGGTGTATATGTGTGGTATATAGATAGGTAGTCTACGTGTGTGTGTGTGTGTATCTACAACAGAGAGAAAGAGAGAGAGAGAGAGAGAGAGAGAGAGAGAGAGAGATTGAAGGTAAAATGCATGAAAAAAATCCTCCTTCTTACTTATTCGACCAGTGTCCACAAACGTCCTTTGTCTGGAGAGTTCCTCTTGGAGTAGATATGTGTCCCTTTTGTAAAATCAATGTCGCTTACGATACATCATTGCCGTACGCACCGTTTCGTTCCAAGTCGTCCTGGAAAATGTTGTTTTTCTTTCTTTCTCTTTCATTTCGTTTCATTCATTCATTTATCCGTTCGTTCGTTTATTTATTCATTTCTTTTTTTTTTCATTATTTTTCTTCACCCTTTTTTTTTCTTTTTTTTTTTTTACATTTACAATATTTTTCTCAACACTTAGAAAGGATAATTCACTCGCTAAGTTCATTTATAACGCCAGACACCCCGGCATTCGCTTACTCCACAGCCGCCGAGCAAGGCAGGCAGATCCTTTCAGTCGCTCACACTATCGATATCGACGCCTCCTTTCTGTTTTATTTGTTTGTTTTTTTTTTTTCATTTCTCTCTTTATCTTCTCTCTTTCTTTCTAGCTTCCGAATTATTATCCCTTATTCTTTTGTTTTTCTTTATTTTTTTTCTTTTTCTTTGTACCTGTTCCCGGCCATTAAAAAAAATGATTTTCTGAGTACCCAACACTACGCAATCAGTTAGTGATTCTTTGTGTTAAAAAGACATACGACTACTCTCTTTCTCTCTCGCTTATTTTTTTTACTCCTTCTCTTTATCCCACTCTCATTAAATCATCCATTTCAACCCTTAACCTCTTTCCCTTTTATGTTTTCATCTTACATGATTTGCAATATATCTATTTCTCATTATTTACAGGATGTTTGTCCCTATCTATCTATCTATCTATCTATCTATCTATCTATCTATCTATCTATCTAGTTCTGTTTCTAGCTATCTACCTCCATGTGTTCATTATCTATCTATCTATCTATCTATCTATCTATCTATCTATCTATCTAGCTAGCTAGCTAGCTAGCTCATTTTCTATTTATTTCAGTCTGTTCATTATCTATCTATCTATCTATCTATCTATCTATCTATCTATCTATCTATCTATCTATCTTCAGATCCGTCACAATGAAAGTTTGAGGATAAAATAATTTTGTCCCCTCGTGAAAATGATGTAAACTAATTTTATTGTATAAACGGTAAATTCTTACTCGAGCGCCTTTGACTTAAAAGCCTTTCACCTCAAAATATTCTGGCGATGTGTCCGCCTGCCTATCTATCTATCTATCTATCTATCTATCTATCTATCTATCTATCTATCCATATATATTTTAGTATGTCCATATCTATTTCGAAAAAAAAACAAACAAATGTTTTATTCTTGTATTTATTCTATTTTACATTTTGCTCACTTTCCTTCTCTCTTTCTCTTCTCATTTTTCCTTCTCCCTTTCTCTTCTCACTTTTACTTCTCTCTTTCTCTTCTTTTAACTTATGACGATTTCATTTGTTTCTCCCACTCTACCTACATTCTTACCTACCCACCTTTCTTTCTTTCTTTCTTTCTTTCTTTCTTTCTTTCTTTCTTTCTACTCTCTCTCTCTCTGTCTCCAGTTTTTTTTATTTTTCTCTCGTTTTCTTTCGTTTTGCTAACATTTCTTTCTTTTCACTCTCTTTGTCTCAAATCCTTTTATTTCTCTCACGTTTTCTTTCTTTTTAGTCACTCTTCCTCAAGTTCTGTCCTTTTGTCTTTTTTCTTTCTTTCTTTCTTTCTTTCTTTCTTTCTTTCTTTCTTTCTTTCTCATTCTCTTTTCCCCCTGATATATGTTTGTGTTTCTCTTCTCTCCGATCTAATTTTTTTCTTTTTCAAACTTATTCACATCGGATCATTTAAAATCTCATTATACCCCACCAATACACACACACACGCACACACACACACATTTCAGATATCTTCCTCAATCCGAATCTTTGTCTCCCCTGATTTAAATACTCAAATAACAGTCTCTCCCCTTCGTTTGTTTTCACCTGCCGCCTGCCAGCTACTTTGTTGATAGTTTTATTCCTCCATTTGTTACTTCATTCCTCATTCCTTCCAAAGTTCTTCATTACGGTTCTCTATTATTGTCATTCTGAATAGGATTTAGTTCCATTTTTGTTTTTAATATAAACCTCTTTCCATATTTCTCTCTCTCTCTCTTCTTCACGCTCTTTCGCCCTATCTTTCTCTTTTTCTCTCTCGTTTTCTCTATTCATTTCTTTCACCCACTCTTTCTCATCCGCTCACTGCCATGTTAGTCTCTTCTATTTCTTTTATTTTCAGCTGAATCATTATCCTTCTGATTTTTGTTCAGAGTATTAATCATATCGTCTTTAGAGTTTTGGCCGGTCGCGTCTTCGATCTTTCTCACGGGTTCATGAAGGAAGTAACAACAAAACGAATGAATCAAGATTTGAATATTTTTATTTGAAAACTTAATTTTTCCTTTTCTTTCTTTCTTACTTTCTATCTTTTTTCTTCTCATAATGTTTCTTTCTTTCGTTTTTATAATGTTTCTTTCTTTCTTTCTTTCCTTCATTCTCATAATGTTTCTTTCTTTCGTTTTTATAATGTTTCTTTCTTTCTTTCATTCTCATAATGTTTCTTTCTTTCGTTTTTATAATGTTTCTTTCTTTATTTCATTCTCATAATGTTTCTTTCTTTCGTTTTTATAATGTTTCTTTCTTTCTTTCGTTTTTATAATGTTTCTTTCTTTCTTTCTTTCTTTCTTTCATTCTCATAATGTTTCTTTCTTTCGTTTTTATAATGTTTCTTTCTTTCTTTCATTCTCATAATGTTTTTTTCTTTTTTTTTTAATGTTTTTTCTTTATTTCATTCTCATAATGTTTCTTTCGTTTTATAATTTTCTTTCTTTCTTTCATAATGTTTCTTTCTTTTTCATTCGTTTTTTCTTTCGTTTTTATAATGTTTCTTTCTTTATTTCATTCTCATAATGTTTCTTTCTTTATTTCATTCTCATAATGTTTCTTTCTTTCGTTTTTATAATGATTCTTTCTTTATTTCATTCTCATAATGTTTCTTTCTTTCTTTCATTCTCATAATGTTTCTTTCTTTCGTTTTTATAATGATTCTTTCTTTATTTCATTCTCATAATGTTTCTTTCTTTATTTCATTCTCATAATGTTTCTTTATTTCGTTTTTATAATGTTTCTTTATTTCATTCGCATAATGTTTCTTTCTTTCGTTCTTATAATGGTTCTTTCTTTCATTTTCATAATGTTTCTTTCTTTCGTTCTTATAATGTTTTTTTTCATTCTCATAATATTTCTTTCTTTAACATAATGGTTCTTTTTTTTCTTTCATTCTTTTCTCATAATGTTTGTTTCTTTCACATAATGTTTGCTTGTTTCTTTTTTCTCATAATGTTTCTTTTTTTCTTTTAAATAGTATGTTTATTTCGTTTTCTTGTTTCCTTGTTTCATTTTTCTCAAAATGTTTCTTTCTTTTTTTTTATTTCTGATATCATGTTCTCTTTCTTTTTTTTTCTTTTTATTTTCCATTCATAATGAGAGAAAGTACAACATGCTATGTAACGACGTTTGCTTGGTTCTTTGTTTCTTTGGTATTTTTATCCAGAATTTTGCGCGGTGGTGTCAACTTAGAGTCTTCACGATTTAAACACTGCCAGATACATAAATATTAAAGCTGACCGATCTTATTTTCAAGATAAATCCCAACCTCTTTAATCCGGCACCCTTGTGACGAGGTCGCTGCTGAACTGCAAAAAATGACAGTAATCGAAACATAATAGTCTTGTAAACTCATTCCACATATATATTATTTCAAGTCGTTGAAATTCCCATAACTATATACTCAAGTACATATATTAGTGAGTGTTCTTCATCCGCCTGCATATGAATAGAAAATGAATTCAGTAAATATAAAAAATGGAAATGTTTGTATATTTAGGCAGCAAATTCTTTTTATGACTGATTAAATAAATTAAAAACATTATGTCTGCTTATTTTTAGCATAATCCGTTCATATTCACGGATATTTTTTCCGTGTATTACAATCAAATGATGCAAGAAATGCACTGTAACAGTGAAAATCACCTTTATTTTCCTAAGTACTTTCCATCTCTTTCTGAGCTCATCATCAAGGGTGCAACTAGTAAAGCAAAAAAACTATGTCCATTAAATTTTTTTTCTTTTTGCGTTTAAATACAATGGCTGACAGTTATGCTTTAGCATTCATTAGAACGTGAAAAAAATTATCCACTATGGAATTTTTTTCCTTTTATGTTGGAATATCAAGAGCGCATTACAGCATAAAAACAGTTCTTTTTATAGGCTTTTTAGAATATCATTCCAGTATTCGTAGCTGATTCTATTCAGTGTCGGTTTCAAATTTTAATGTAGATTGCTTCGAGGATCTGATGAAATGGGCATAAGACAAGGATGTGTTTTCTCACTGGGCTTATTCAACATTTACAGTTAGGTGATTCTTAGAAAATTATAGCTTCTATCGGAAATCATTATTGGCAGCCACAGTATTAAGAACATAAAATATGAAGATAATACATTTTTTATAGCATACACAGAAAGGAGACTACAGAAATTCTCACAGAAAGTAGTAAAGGATAGCCAGAAGAAAGGACTAAATTCAATTGTAAGAAGAAAAAATGTATAGTTCTCGGTTAAGGTAATAGCCCAAGAGGCGAAGAATAATTTGGAAACACGGAAATCAAACAAGTACAAAAACTTAAATATCAAGCAAGTATTTTAACAGAGGAGAGAAAATGCGACATCGAAATTCCAATGTGCAATGGGAATACGAAAGATGCCTTCCAAAAGCTGAGCAAAGTATTAGGAAACAAAAAGAAAATCTTTAGAAACAAAGAAAAGGGTACAGAACTGTGATATAGTACCGGTCCTTCTATATGTTAATGAATGCTGGACAATCTACCCAGGGATGAAGAAGAGACTTGATGCAACAGAAATGTGACTCTACAGAAGGATGCTGAGAATGCCATGGACAGAGTATATGAGTAATGTAGTTTTAAGGAAAATAGAATCAAGAAAGGACTTAAAATTTGAAAGAGACAATTGAAATGCCTACAGACTATAATGAAAAAAGAGGGATTGGAAAAGTTGATACTCACATGGCCTATTGAAGGCAAGGGGATACAGCGAATAACCAACCCAACTAGCAAGTGCAAATGTTTGGCAGAATAGGGATTGGGAGATATAGTTAAAAGGGAAACATTGCTAAGATTTACAAAGGACGGGGCGTTTTGGATACGGGTGCCAGGCAATAAACCCAGCCCCTGCCAGAAGGAGAGGTACTATCTGGTGTTAAGGCTCTCTGGGGCTTAGAGTTTTTTTTTAAACTTACCTGGGTAGAATAGAAAAGAGAGACAGAGACGGATAGAGCTACATCTGCCCGAAACAAAGGTTGAAATCTGCGCATTGTTTTCGAATTATTCATCCTGTTTCTCTTTCTCTCGGTCTAAAGATTTTTTTTCCTATGTTTTTATCTTAGCATTGTTGTTTCAACGAGAGAAGAAAACTGTTTGCATCAACATTTTTATAAGAGTTATTTTTTGTCCACTTTTTGATTTAGCTGTTCATAACACCGGAAGCAGGCAGCTCGATGTAGTGTAATGATTAGCAAGCTTGTCTCGCGAGAATAGTTACAACTGAGTAGTGAGTTCGATCCTCACCGAATGCCCTATGTCTTTGGCCTTGTATCACCATGACCCCGGAAACTACCCATCAATATCGAAAACCGGATTTACCTAACATTGTAACAAAACAGAGGTATATAATTTTCAAGTTATCGTTAGCGCAGGAAAATGTATGTTCATGATTTTCCTAAATGTATTAATATAAAAATATCAATGCAGTTCGAACTCATTTGGATGGATCTTTTTTGTCAAGATATATAGCGAGTGGACAGAGTATGCCTTTCCCCAGACCACTACGTCTAAGTAAACATAAACAAACTCAGCCGAAATTCGGACTCGGTTTACAGATTCAGTTTTCATTGCTGACCTATTGTCCAGATATAATATAACTATTGTATAGGACACAGGGAAAGGTTAATTCATGCCTTTCTCTAACTAGAGCTTTACAACTAAGTAATATAAACCTCCTCAGCTGAAATTCTAACTCGATTTACTGATTCAGTTTTCATTGCTGACCTATTTACTGTCTAGATATAATATAACTATTGTACAGAGTGCAGGGAAAAGTTGATTCATGCCTTTCTCTAGCTAGAGCTTTAGTGCTAAATGATGATATAAACAACATCAACCGAAATTCGAACTCGGTTTGCTGATTTAGTTTTCATTGCTGACCTGTTGTCTAGATATCATATAACTATTGTACAGAGTGCAGGGAAAAGTTGATTCATGCCTTTCTCTAGCTAGAGCTTTAGTGCTAAGTGATGATATAAACAGCATCAACAAAATTCGAACTCGGTTTGCTGATTTAGCTTTCATTGCTGACCTGTTGTCCTGATATCATTCAACTATTGTACAGAGTGCAGGAAAATTGATTTCTCTAGCTAGAGCTAAAATGATGATATAAACAATCAACCGAAATTCGAACTGTTGATTCATGCCTTTCTCTATTGCTAGATAAATGATGATAACTAACAACATCAACCGAAATTCGAACTCAGTTTGCTGATTTAGAAATTTTGCATTGCTGACCTGTTGTCTAGATATCATATAACTATTGTACAGAGTGCAGGAAAAGTTGATTCATGCCTTTCTCTAGCTAGAGCTTTAGTGCTAAAGATGATGATATAAACAGCATCAACCGAAATTCGAACTCGGTTTGACTGATTTAGCTTTCATTGCTGACCTGTTGTCCTGATATCCAGTTATTCGTGCCTTTCTCTAGCTAGAGCTTTGAGCCGATATAAACAACATCAACCCGAAATTCGAACTCGGTTTGCTGATTCAGTTTTCAATGCTGAACTGTTGTCTAGATAAAATATAACTATTGTACAGAGTGCAGGGAAAGGTTGATTCATGCCTTTCTCTAGCTAGAGCTTTAGTGCTAAGTGATGAGAGCCAGAATTCGAACTCTATTTGACAGATCTATTTACCTTGCTGTTAAGCCCCAACGCCGCTCGACGCTTCCTGGTTGCGTCCTTGTCCGCGCGTGTGACGAGGCACGCGCCGCACACGCCACACACGCGTCTTCTGGGCGCGCATTTGTTGATCGCAAAACCCGTCAGACTAGTGTCAGCAATGCCAGCGAAATAGGACAGGAGGGTTGGTCGGTTGGTAGTCTGTGTAAGAAATCTAACCCGCAATGACAGGGAAAAAAAAAGCTACAATTATAATGAATAAGCCGGTATTTGTTTTTGTTTTATCATTTATACAGGTTCCCGGTCCATATATCTGTTTTTTTTTTGTTTTGTTATTCTTTCACTATTTTCTTTTCTTCATTCTTGCCAGACTTTCTCTCTTTTTCTCTGTCTCTTCTCTCTCTCTCTCTCTCTCACACACACACATTCTCTCAAATGATTACGGTCTCTATTTACCGCCTTCTTAATTCTAATCTGTCGATATTCAGATGTTTTCCTACCTACTTCATATCAACCGATCTTTGCTCATTCTATCTATCTATCTATCTATCTATCTATCTATCTATCTATCTATCTATCTATCTGATAGTTAGTTCAGCCTGTTATTTCTGTATGTATGTATATATCTATCTATTTATTTATCCATCTAACACTTTTATTATATATATATATATATATATATATAATATTTATATATATATATATATATATATTTGTGTGTGTGTATATATATATATATATATATATATATATAAAAAATGCCAACCAAACTGGCTTTCGACCTCAGGTAAGTGGAAAGATATATATATATATATATATATATATATATATATATATATATAGGTGTGCTATATTTATGGGATAAAGTGCTCAATATCAGGGATAGAGCGTGTATATAATATATATATATATATATATATATATATATATATATATATATATATATATATATATATATGAACAAGCGACACATCGTTGAATAAGACTGATAAATATTAACTGATATGAGTTATCTCCTCTGAGCGTAGAAAGCGGAATAAAGACAATCGACTTCCATTGATTTAATAAAGTGTTCAGTTCGAAAATCTATATAGGTTAACGTCATCATCGTACTTGATGACAGTCAACTGAAAAAGGTCGTATGGTACAACCTCCGAAAAGTTGTAAGTACAATAAGCAAGACGATCAGGTTGGTCGGAATACTGAGCCGTCCCAACCCACTTATTAAAACTGAACAGCCAGACTACCACCCCATATATAATTTAATAATCGTGGCGGCTTTTCAGAACCAACCGCACTTTCCAAAAAAGAAACCGAATACAGAATTATGGCACATTGTGCGCCACAATGTCTCTTTTGAATATTGTTTTTCTTCGACTGGTTACCAACCAAGTCTATAGGGTCCATTCTGTACTGCTGTTTATCCATAGCTAGGGGAAGAAGAGATGGTTTCACACCTTGCACAAGGTTATTTGTATTGTACTTTTACATACAATTATGGCACGAGGCCGAAAAACGAAAGGGGTGGAGGCTGGTCATCAGTTACTATCTTATACCTAGCTGATTCGATTCATGACCCATTCTCTCATTACAACTTCTGCATTCACCATAAAATCTCGTCCGTCACCAATCAATCCCACCATACACCACAATACCGCATCCTCTCCAGGGGGACCTACAAAACACGCCCCGTGATATAAAAATTTAATGATAATAAATTATTATATATAAAAATCTAACCTTTCTCAATGTTACTGTTATTTATTGTATTTAAATTACAATTACGGCACAAGGCCAAAATGGGGAGGAGTTGAGACTGGTCATCCCTATCTTATACCTAGCTAATCTGATTTACGACCCATTTACACATTACAATTTCCACATTCACCATAAAAGCTCGTCCGTCAACAATCAATCCTCTATACGTCATAATACCAAACTCTCTCAAGAGAGACCTACAAAACGCGTCCCATGCCATAAAAGTTTAATGATAATAAATTATTTGTCTATATTTCTGAGAAGAGGTATTATGTACATTATTTACATTATTTAGACTATTGTCCATATCTTTGTCGCCATTTTTATTACAACGTTTCGGCCGTTGTACGCTCCGGCCTTCTTCAGGTGGTTGGAATTATTTCGCTCACTGGGGTAAACTAAAGAACACATGGCACAGTGGATGAAGGTGTTGGTTATATCCAGTGACAGGACACAGAGAGTGTGAGTTCAATACCCGGTTAAGGCAGTGGAGAACTTTTAGAGGGAAATTAACAGGAGATAACTGATAACTGACATCCATTAAACATGGCACGTAGAATTAAAATAGTCTATCCCAGTGAGCGAAATAAAGAGTTAAGTTCGACATTCCAACTACCTGAAGAAGGCCGGAGCGTACAACGGCCGAAACGTTGTCATAAATATGGCGACAAAGATGAGGACAATAGTTCGAATAATGTAAATAATGTAATAAATTATTATATATAAAAATAACCATTCTGAAAGTTATTTGTACGTAAGTGAATGTAACGGATTTATTTATTTTTAAAATGATTCTTGGTCGGCGCGGGCGATTTTCAGCAATCACTTCGTACATTAATTTATTTATTGCATTTAAAAATACAATTGCACTTCGTATATTAACAGTCGCTCGAGCTTTGAGTGATTTATGCAAATCATTTTTTTTAGTTATACTGTTAAAAGCAGGATAAATTAACGATTGGCTCAAAGTAGCAGCTGACGGACACAGGGTGCTCAAAAGTCGGACCGTCTGGCCTAAAGACGCGGGTATGGCTTCTTAGTTACTTCACCACAGACCCAATAAGAATTTAAAGTAGGACAAAATCGCGGCATTTCCACTGGCATTTACTCTTTGGGGAGGCCTGAAGCATCAACGATTAAGCATTGACCTCCACTCCCGCCCCAGAGAAGGGGTTTTATTTAGAGGACGCTCCCACCACGGGGTAAGCACGTTATATTTCATTTTAGCCCCGACGGAATTCTGGCTGGGACCATTGTTATCCGTTGACACGACCCGTCGCGTGTGGGGAAAAGAGACTTCCACACAGGTGCACTGATAGTCCTTTGTTTGCGTAACATGCGAGTTGTTTCGCCTTATTTATTTATCTACTCTTATTTTTGATGGGGGCAGTAAAAGCTTATCTTTCTTATTTTTAATTATCAGCAGCATGTGGCTTGCAGCATTTTAACCCTTAGCCCAAGCAAATCTACTTGCCACAATCTATTATCACCTGTCCCAGTAGTTGTATGCATCTGTCGTTTGCTCACTGATCTACTGACCAGAATCTGTATAATTTAAGCACAGATAACACGTCTCAGCGGTCGATGGTATCGGCTATGAAATTGTCCAGATAAATTCACATGTGCTGACGATAAAAAAATATAACAGGCCTTTTCTCTCTCATAACGTTTTTTTTTTTTTTTTTTTTTAAGTGGTCGGTAGTTTCGATAACAAATGACCGTGGACATCCAAGGAAAAGTCGATTTTTAAGTCTAGGTTCAAGATTCAGCGTACAAGAAAAAAACAATTTAGAAATATTTCTTCAGAAGATCTGGAATTTGCGGTAATGACGGCTTCAGCAGTTTCTATAAAGTCGCTCAAGATACGAACACAAAAATCTGCAGCTTGGCTACCATTTAACGACTTAAAGAAATCACTCGATTAATTGTAACTCATAAACACATGTACAGTGTTGATGATTTTACGGTGTTGAAGAATAATTTCAAAGAAAATCTAAGAATGACAACTAATATCTTAAATAAGATACATTCGTTTAATATGTTGAATCCTATTTCAATAAGCAATTATATTCAACTTCATTAAAATTAACGAAGGTAAAATAGTAGCAACTATGGCCGGTGTAAAAGTTTTGGGAGTCCCCAGTCTATAATACGCCCCTCCATATCTACAATGCGCCCCCACCCCAACTACATCTTAATTTTCATATAAAATACACATTTTATTGCAGCCTATTTACCGGAATTCATAATTCGATAATCTTAGCAATTTAATCCGATTAAAAACTTCGTCAATTACACGTAATGATTTGCTCAAATATTAAGAATAAGAATTGGAATTTATTAAGACAATCTTATGCCACAATGGCTGTCATTTTGAATTGGTGTAATCTACATTATTTACATTATTCGGACTATTGTGCTCATCTTTGTCGCCATATTTATTACAACGTTGCGGTGAAGAACACGGAGAGGGGAATTAACAGGAGATAACTGATTACCGGCATTCATTAAAACATGGCACGTGGAACTAGAACAGTCTACCCCAGTGAGCGAAATAAAGGGTTCAGTTCGATATTCCAACCACCTGAAGAAGGCCGGAGCATACAACGGCCGAAACGTTGTAATAATTATGGCGACAAAAATGAAGACAATAGTCCGAATAATGTAAATAATGTACATAATACCTCATCTCAGAAATATAGACAGATACTGGTGTAATCTAGTATTCTTGCTAAAATATCAGAATTTCATAAGCTGAAAGTATTGGGAAGCAGTTAAGTGTCCTCTCTGTTTAATTTTAGTGTGGATTCAGGGCTGCTGCTGGGGTCTCGTGGACAACACTGAATCTATGATACGCCCCCACCGAATCTCTGATAGGGGGCTATGCACTCTACGAAATCTTAATTCTCTTAATGTAGTATTCATATAAAATACAAATTTTATTGCAACTTAATTATGTACAATAATGGATCTCATGCGACATAGATAAACAATCCAAGTAGAAAAATTAAAAATAAATACAATGTATCTAAATACAAATAAGAGACATGTCATAATAGATCATTCCATAAATCAACAATGTTTTGTGATAATATTCAACATCAATTTGAATTTTTTCTTGTTAAAACGTTGACATTTTTTTAACACATTCAACTTTATGGATAAAAACATAGATAAATTTTATTTAGTGTTTTTCAAGACTTAGCTTAAGCAAAACAAATTCACGGATTACGGCGATAAAAAAAGAGACCAGAATAATAATCCGCGAAAATTTTTCATCCTTTTAATAATCAGCTGTGCTTAGTTTAATTTGTAACGTATATAAAAGTAAGCAGAAAAAAAAGCAAATATTAATAAGATATCAAGAAATAAAGCATTGCCAGAGGTTCCTAATTAGGCTGGCTCACAACCAGTTGGGGGTAACGCAGGTAATACGGACTGGCCCTATATGGATTTGATAAATTACACATCTCTACCAACGTTAATAATAGGTATTCTACTGAATATTTATGTATCATTTTCTTTTTCCAACCAGTGTTGATATCCATTCATATAAATGGTCTATCTATCCTTTAAGCTAATAGGTTGGACAGAAGATTATGTACAATTTTAGAATCAACTTTTTTTTTTTTTTTTTAAAAACTTAAAAATTAAGGATAAAAAAAATAGATAAATTTTATATAGTGTTTTTCGAGACTTAGCATGAACAAAACAAACTCATGGTTTTGGACTTTTTTGAATGACGTCAAAATCCGTGAAATTTTTCCTCCTTTAATAGTCACTTGTGCTTAGTTAAACTTGCAAAATATATAAATGTAGGTAGAAAAAAA